TGCTTGCCATATTATTTTAGATAAAAGCCTTTCAGAGGGTTTTTTTCCTGAAGCTTCTTTCAGAGGCTTCATTTGGCCTTTAAAATCTCCGTTTGTGAGGCTGGGTGGGGCTACATTCGGAGTATAAGACGCACCCAGATTTTCATCCTCTTTTTTTGGGGAAAAAAGGTGTGTCTTGTACTCCAAAAAATACAGTATGTATATATCAAGGGCAGGGGTCAGCAATCTGTGGCTCTGAAGCCACATGTGGCTCTTTCACCCACTGCTGTGGCTCCGTCACTCAAAATATGTATCACAACTGCCAATGTCTGACACCCGCCAGCACGCAATTTATTGAGCTTTTCAACCCCTGGTAGGCCAACCATGGATAAATCCAAGAAAAGAAAGTTTCAGAAGAAAACAGAACATTTAATTCAGCTACATATGCTAGTTCTGTGGCCACTCAAGAAATAGTTAGGCACGGGAAGGGCTTTGTGGCTCCCAGTGTTGTTTTCTGTGGGAAATGGGTCCAAATGGCTCTTTGAGTGTTTAAGGTTGCAGACCCCTGATCAAGGAAAATGAGTGGAAAATGTGTGACAAATTCCCAGAGAATTAGCAATGAGATCCAGCCATTACGTTGCATTCAGTAGAGATGAAAACAGCATCAGCACATATATTCTCTTGGAAAGCTTTGATCCTTTTTATGGCTTAGCATAACTGCATGGCTAGCCACCAGGTCAGCATTCTTCAGTAGAGTACCCCCTATCATTTTTCTACAAATCAACATGACACATACGTTACACTACAGTGTGCACTGGCTTACCAATATCATGAACTTCGGTGCAATAGGAAAAGTGGTAGTATGGTAGTAATAAACATTTGGTGGACTCCAGGCTGGGAATTTGCTATAATAGTAAAAGTTTAGATAACTAGATCTTAAAGGAATTTTACCTTGTTCAAGTTCTTAAAGGGTCTAATTATGATGCTCACTTAATAGGTTGAATACCAGTCTCTGCGCAGAAGGATATGTGGCTACTCCCAAAAGAGCTCTTAAGAATTTATAGCCTGCAGTATTGTGAATGTATAGCAAGCAGGGGCGTATGTACATGCACACATCCACTCATCTCTCATACCCCATTTGGAAAGGCTGCATTCAGCAGAAGTGACTACATTTTGAAATCACCTTCAGTAGGTTTTTGTAAAGGAATAAAATAAAAGCTCAATTCAGTCTCAAGTTTAAATAAGTATTGATGGAGATCAGGGGTGATATGCTCCCGGTTTGGGCCGGATTGGGCGATCCGGTAGTGATTGTGGCAGGTTGTTCAGAGAACTGGTAGCGATGGCGGCGCAAGGCTCCACCCACCCGCCCAGGTGTTACTTCCTGGTTTTAACCAGGAAGTAATGTGTTTTTAACCCTCTGCGCATGCGCAGAATGTTTTGCACATGCACAGAGGGTCTGCATGTGCATGTGATGCAAGCGTGCGGGTGGGGCACATGCACTTCCGAACCGATAAGGAAGGTAAGTAGATTTCACCCCGGTGGAGGTTGCTTCCTTGAGCTTGCATTGCTCAGTTGTCTGATCAATACTGTAATGACTTCTTCCTTAAGAGAGCTCAATAATTTGAGATTTCAATCCTCCTTTCTCATTCCCTGGGCCTGTGGGTCAGAAAAGCTCTTTATATTTCTTCCTTTTTTTTAATGTCTAGGAGACAAGAAGTGGGTGTTGTTACCTAGATGGATTTCCCTCACTTCAGAAGAAATAGGCACTCTAGCACAGGCCTGTCAAACTGGCAGCCTGTGGGCTGGATGCATCACGTGCATGCCACGCCCACCCCGGCTCTGCAAAGGCAAATGTTGCGATACATCACAGTATGTCACATGATGTGATCGAGTTTGATGCCAGTGCTATAGCAGAAAAAAATTCCCCACTTTTGAAGCACGATCCTTCATTACCATATTGAAAAAGAGTATTTCTATATTACAGTACCTGTTTACTTACAAAATGCAAAAAGGGCCCTGACATTACAATATGGAATAGATTTCTTTTTCATACAGTCTGTCTTCAACATATTTTTTATGTTTATTATTTTTTAATTCTTCACAGTGCAGAATTTTCAAAGTGTTTTCAAAGCCATAAAGGTTTGCTGATAAATTAAGCCTGCTGTGTTATCCCAGGAATTATCTTTTGTTAGCCAGTGATATTTGCAAACCTAACCAGTTTTGGCTTATTAATATACTACAGTATGATGAAACATGTTTCAGTATGGTTGTACCTAAAAATTGACTGGCTATTTCCTTCATTATTTCAGACTAGTGTTTTGTGTAACTGGAGACCCTTTTCAGTGTGTAACTTGAGGTCCAGAAGTTTATGGTTGACCTATACTCTGCTGTGGTGCTCCATTAGCAGTGAACGCTTCCTAGAGCCTTGAACTACACTGGCCATCATCTTCTGCCACATAGGCTATAGCTCCAACACATCTACTGTGTATCTGAAAGACCAATACAGTGTAATCTATTAAGCAGACCATAGTTTGGAAAAGGTGACATTGTTTTATGCAGTCAAGTGGAAACTGATTTAGCTGGATCTAGTGTGGAAGATGAGTGGTGGTGGTGATATCTCTACCAGTGGTGGGATTCAGAAATTTTTTTACTACCGGTTCTGTGGGCATGGCTTGGTGGACATGGCAGGGGAAGGTTACTGCAAAATCCCCATTTCCTCCCAATCACCTGGGACTCGGAAGGCAGAGAATAGATGGGGGCGGGGCCAATTAGAGGCAATGTTTACTGGTTCTCCAAACTACTTAAAATTTCTGCTACTGGTTCTCCAAAACTGATCAGAACCTGCTGAATACCACCTCTGCTCTTTACCTTCTAATTGCATCTGCTTGTTAATAAAGTAATCTTCATTTGTGTATCCGGCTTAGAACAGTTAGCCTTTTTAATTTTGTGGGATAATTCTGATTTCCATTATTTAAAATGGAGCAGGACCTGGGTATAGAGGCAAGAAATAAGCCAACAAGAATATAAGCTGTCCTGCCATGTTGCAATAATATCCTTGGAAGTATTAAATTATCTAGGCATAAAGGCCCTTGCCACATCTCTAGGCAAGAAAAGCGGAGATCACTGACTGCATTAAGCCAAAAAGGTGTGGGTGTTTAGAACCATGCTTAATTGTAAACCATGGATTATGGATAGCAGAATGTGCAAGCCAAGACAGTTTTAGTGATGTAGCAAATTGGATAAGCTCATGATTGGGCATTGTGTTGAATACTGTAAACCCTTTAGCCAGTTGAAGTTTGCAGATAAAAGATGCCCTGAGAATTAAACTAAAGCAAAACTGGTCCTACCAGTGTGGGAAATGTTGAAATCAGCAGATTTAGGCATGCTTAATTCAAAGACAGATGAAATTTAACAAATTTTTGGGAATTCACTGGGTAGCGTATGTACAGAATGAGACATCTCATTTAGGAAACACAACTTTTAGGAATATAATTGAATTCTTTTTAATTCAGGGAGGGAGGGAGCTAATGGGAGTAGCCAGTCTTTGCTTCCTTCTGAATGAACATTGATTTTTGGGGGGGGATGCATACACAATGCACAAACAGCATGGCTGTGGAACACATCAGAGTGCACTCCCAAGGTTTTAAGAGTGCAAATAGATGCAGATATAAAACCTATCTATAATTTAACACTCTAGGAAGAATTGCTTTGCAGAGATGCTAAATAAATTCAAGGTCCTTGAATTATATCAGTCACTGACCAGAGCTAAGCACAGCTCTTAAATATAAAGGCTTAAGTGGAATATCTTACCCACTCAGGAATGCAACATTATTTGCCTGATAAAACATGATTTTAAAAGATTTACTTGATTAATAGATAACAATTTACCACAACTGGAAAGACTTGATCTAACAATTTTAATGAGATGTAATGAATCTTTAAAAAGATCAAAGAGCAAATATTCATTTTACATCCTACTCATGGTATGTGTAGGCTATAAAATGCAATAGAGTGGGATCTGTTAAGCCAGCAAGTGGAGCAAGTTAAACATGCTATGGAAATACATCTCAGTCATTTAGAAAAGCTTTGTTGGGTGAAAGCAAATTCTTGCTCATTAAGGCAGTAAATAAAAATTGTAGATGAGATAGCATCAGGTTAGTTCACATCATTTGGATTATTTGGCATTAAGTCCTCAAACATTAAGCTCTCTCCTGTACCAATATTTACTTACCTCACCCAGGAAATCTCCCATGCCTGGGAGTAAGGCACCAGTGTGTCAAAGACATCCAATTTTCTTTCAGGAGAGTCTCCAAACTTTCAACATTTACAGATGCCTTGAAGGCTACTCTGCCTTTCCCATCCCTTCAACTTCATACAAACTATAATAGAATTGTTTGCCGATACCAAACAAATCAATGAAATATGGGCATGGGCGGCTTTAAAAGGGCTATTTCTTAAATTATCAAAAGATACCAAGCTTAATTTATTAATCAGTCAAGTAATAAAACTGATTCATGTATTAGCTGGATCCTAGGCTTAATTTATGAGAAATGTTACACAAGTAAACACTGAAAGAAAAGTTATTTGGAAGTTGCAGCAACACACTGTTTATCAGTGCAATATCACTTCCTTTCAATAAGACAAGACACGATGTAATTTATTTTTTTAATTGCAAAATTATCAAGTACATATTAATGTTAACATTTTTAATTCCAATTAACAGAACTGAAACATTCAGTTTGTTGTGATCCTGGGATGGTGGCTCTATATTTTAGCAAGTAGTACCACTAAAAACATACCAAGTCTTGAGACAGTGCCCTGGAACCCACCACGTTGTACTTACTGATATGTCTCAACCTGACACTCTTTCTACTCTACTTATCCAACTGGAGGTCACACTGCAGTGAGAGAGAGAGCAGAGGGCGTGGGTGGCCTCACCAGACTGCCCCAAAACTCCTATTCATCTGCCATCTTAGTCAATTACATTTTATGGAAAACAGCAACATGGCTCACTCATTACTACTTTAAGATATGCAACTGGTTTAAAACTTGTGGCTGAAGATGAAAAACAGTCATAGGTGCAGGACTAACTGAAAATCTTTGAAGAATGTCAGAGGCAACACCTTGGAAAGCTCCAGGCATGTTTGCTAACCAGAAAGGAGTGCCATGCTGTTCCTCTGAGGCAGGGCTGGGTTTTCTCATAGCTCTCTCCTCCTGGAAGAAGGTGGAAGTCTGCAGGTGCACAGGGAGGTAAGAACTCCAGAACATTTGGTACACTGATGTACCAAAGTAGGTGGCAGCCAAAGAGAAGGCAAACACTTGAGTTTTTTCAAAGGATTGGACAATACCAGTTCAAACTCATCATCTCCTAAAACTATCCCACACACACCTGCCTAAAGCACACCTTGCATACCAAATACAATGGGCCTTAACTCCTGAGTGAAGATACATAGGGCAAACTGCAATAAGATATTGCCTTAAGAAATTCTCTAGTAACACTGTGCCTAAGGATCAACTGATGTTAAGGAGGAAGAAGCAGAAGCCCCAAACCCTGTTTAAGGTTCATACAATGAAAAAGTATACATTTGGAAAGCAGACTGAGTTAATTTTGCTGGTTGAATTGCAAGCACTTAAATCCAGGTTTCTCTGGAGACACACTGAAGACGAAGAGGTTCCTGGCAATGGAAAACATCTGCCATTGTTCACCCAGCATGGGATCCTCTTCCATGAGTTGCATTCTGCAGGCTGCATGGCCCTCACCAGGGACTGCAGGGGTCTGGACAATCCCTCAGATAAGTCTCTATTTGGCCTTCAGAAACTTCTAAAAGTGTGGTTGAGACTGTCAACTAAATAAGGGGGAAAGTTTCATATAAAAATGTCAGTTTGCCAATATGATAAAAGCAAATGCTTTTCAAAACAACAACCCTTTCGTTTCAATGCTTTTGCTACATTAGGGCTGCTGTGCTTTATCATATGTCTGTTAGTAAGATAAGCAAAACATTAAATGGATATATACCTGATTTGTCACAATACAACAAAGCCCCGATTTAACTATGCTTTCATGGCACTGTTGTTTATAGTCACAATCAAGTTTAATGCCTAGTTTTTACTTTATAAAAAGAAATTGTGTCCTTGGGCTAGAACCACTTGGAGTTAAAATCTTGAGAAAAACTATGAAGATTTGCTTGCCGTTACATAACCTTACACAAATTCGAAAAACAGATCATGTGCTAGATGACTATTCTAAGCAAATAACATCCATTATGTCACCAAAAAAAAAAAAAAATCAAAAGCAATTATTCAACTGAACAATAAACCCAACTAGATTTGTGGCATTTGTATCTTTGCAAGAAGTAGAACTATCGCAATTGTGAAAAAAAAAAAGTGATTTTGCATCATTTCAAAGAGATTGGCTATATGGAATATAGTGATCTTTGGCTGCAAGCACGCATGAACGTGAGTTACACAGCTGTCAAGGCAAAGAACACATAAACTGCAGCTGGAGAAAATTTTAAAACTTACAGGTCCCTTTTATTGATTTATCCTTGTGAAATTTAGTGACAATCAATGACCCAAATCAATGTGATTCCTCTCTCTCTCTCTCTCTCTCTCTCTCTCTCCCTCCCTCCCTCCCTCTGCTCTGCTGTCTCCCATTCTATCACCCCATAATGGGTTAAGCAGAACCGAAATGCTCAAAACAATATTTAGTTTAAAAGCAAATGGAACAATTCAAAGGCAGACGGACAAGAATGAATGTAATTCTTTTAGGATGCATCAAACAAGGAGTTATAAGTTTAGACAGCCAATTTTGTTAAGGAACCAAGCTAGCAACTGGGAGACAGTGAGTTCTAGTCCCCCCCCTCCCACCTTAGCCAGGGTGTGGATGACTTTGGGCCAATCACTCTCCCTCAGCCCAACCCACCTCACAGAGTTGTTGTGGGGAAAATATGAGGAGGACTATTAGATATATTCCTCACCTGGACTTGTTTATAAAAAAATAAAGGTGAGGTATAAATAAAAGTAAAATAAACAAAAGTTACCTTGTTGAGGATAGGCTTTGTGGAGAGAACGTTGTATAAACCTGATAATGCGATTTTCTGGTAGGGAAGGAAGAGTAAAGATTGAAACCAAAAATTAAAAGTTCTGTTTTAATCTTTAGAGCAGCTGTAGAACAGAATACTATTAACCAATCTCTGATCTCAGCAACAAGTGTCCCATTCTAAATGACTTGCATCATAGGCAGAGTCAAGAATTTGCTTTGAGATGTTGCTACCCTGCCAGCTGTAGAATTAAATAAATAACTCTAGGCTTGTGACTAGTTCAGTTTACTGTGTCAAAGTATTTTAGCTGACTTTAAAATGAAAGTTATTTCCATTAACCATATTGTTTGCATTCGTAGAGGCGGCTAATTATTTGTTAAACAAGACAAGAACTAGCCATGCCTAATACAAGATAGACATGGCTAGTTAAATTTGTGGTTTATTGAAACTTCCTTTCCTTTCTAACCCACCCTTTTGTCCCTTGCGTGTTTCAGAAGTTCAGCCATTCCACAAAAACATGTCAGAAACTCATAAATCATGCATTGCCATTAAATTATAATTCCAGCCAATAAGGTAACAAACTATAGTTTAAAACTAGTTTACTACCCTAAAACAAACTAAAAGAAAACATATGTATTTTGGGATTGAACTGTGGACTATAAACTATGATCTATAAATAAAATAAAAGCCATATTTTGATTTAGTGCAAATATGAAATCTCAACCATGGTTATGTTGGGCTACATTTGTTGACTATATGGAACAACTTACAAATTTCAGCTGTTTTTTTAATGGTGCTTCTAAGTTCCATCTTGTTCCACCCCCTTGCATAAGAGAATCAAATTAATAGCTTTAATTCTCTGCATAATTATATTTCATATTACACAGCATTACCTCTTGACCTGTTTTATTCAAGCAATTCATTGCAGGGTGCCTCCGGTCATCTATGATAAGTGGAGCCTTCCAGGGGTCATAATTGGTTTCTACAACAAACCAGTTGCCGTTCTTTGCATCCAAACTTGAAATAAAAGATAAATATTACCAAAGTTATGATCCAATATTTCTAAAATATTAGCAGCTAAATTCAAGCTATTTCTTAAAAGTGCATCCCAAACAGATCTCTCATAAAGTTAGAAACATTTCTTCTTTAAAAAGAAAACTGTTAAAGCTAATAAAGCACAGCTGATGTAATGAGACTGAAAACAAATGCAAAAACTGGCTAAAACCACCTTTATTGCATTGTAAGTATCAACACGGCTGTTTTAACACATGCTATTATAGGCAACAGTGATATTTTCCTTAGTGACCATGCTTACTTCTTAATGTTTAAAGCAGCACTTCGAGAACGTGTAATAATGCAACCCTCGTCCGATTTGTTTCCTCCTAGTATGAAGTAAGCTGGAGCCAGCAGCTTTGTGTTGGCCAATTTATCCTTTGCATCTTCATAACTATATGCAACAAGAGAAACAATGCAATAATTACAGGGAGCAGGCGTGACATGCACATTATAACCAAAAGGCGGCCTTTCAAAATGCTTTGTATACAGCAAGAATAGGAACTATGTTTGTGGCGGCTGTGTGTGCTACCCATCCTCCCACCCTATTATTTTCAGCAGTCATAAGACTATGAAAGGGGGTATTTAATGGGCCTTCTCTTGGTTTTCTCAGCAAAAATTATTGAGAAAAAGTTATCTCAGTGATTACCAAAAGTCATTAGTATTTGTAAGTTTCAGTGGCATGATTTGGGGCGGTGGGGAGAGAAGAGATGCCTATACCCAAGGATCAAATAACCTCTGACCAGTTTGGGAATGTACCATACAGAGTAGTATATAAGAATAAATAAATGGATAGATGGAGACATATTGTTCTACTGCAAAAGACAAAGAACGGGAAAAGATAAGGTGCATTTTATTATTCCTAAGTAAACAGGCAAGAATCAAAGAATCAAAGAGATACTGAAAAACTTTCAAATAGCTTTACCAAACTTGGTATCTCCCAGAAATATCAGCCATTCTCAGTGTCAGTTCTAAGAATGGTAGTTTCTGTATTTGAAGGATATAGTTACAGGATGGCTAATTTAAGGATTAGAACCATGGCAATTGATGCTAGGAAAGCCACAAGGGATACAAACAGTAGATTCTCTTGATAACACTAGTCCATCTACTACTAGAGTTCCTATGACCTAGTGTGCCTCTAATGTGGCTCTTCGACTGCCAATTAAATAATGGGAAAGATGATTTTTCCTATTCTTCCAATTAAATAATGGGAAAGATGATTTTTCCTATTCTTCCCTTCCTTTATGATAAACAATTATATTGCTATTCAGAGGCAGCAATGAAGATCAGTCAGGATAAAAAGGAGTAGAGTTTGATCACAAGCTCAACATATGATTGTGTACAAGTCAGAAAATATGACTCAAGCCAACCGTGTCAGCTGTATTCACTATTGTCCTAAAAATACATCAATGCTTAGGATCATCTGATTATAGTCCTTCATTGAAAAAGAGGTTTCAGATGTCCAAACTGGTTTTAGAAAAGGCTAAAGAACACAAGTTATCATTGCTGATGCATGTAAGATAATTGAGAAAGCCAAAGAATATGAAAAAGAAGATGCGATGTGGTTCATTGATTATAAAAAGGCCTTTTACTGTGTTATTCAAATCAAGTCGTGGAATATGCTCAGAAAAATTGGAATCCCAGAACATCTTATTGTTCTCACAAGAAATTTAACAGTATATACAGGTCAGGAAACCACAATTCAGACAGAGCATAATGAAACAGACCGCATTGGCAAAGGAATTTGGAATACAAATTATAAACTAACCAGGACAGCAAAATATAAAGAAAATCAATATGAAATGCTTTACCATTGGTATTTGTCACCTTCTAGATTGGCAAAAATATATCCAAATTTAAATCCCAATTGTTGGAAATGTGGACAAAAGCAAGGTACCTTCTTTCATACATGGTGGTTATGCTCCGAAACAAAAAAATATTGGATGAAAATACATAGTTGGATACAAGAAGTAAGAGGCTTCCAGATAGAATACACACCAGAATTGTAATGAAAAGGAAATACCAACATATATTATTCTACACATGACAACTGCGGCAAGATTGGTCTTTGCACAATGTTGGAGAAGCTCAAATATACCCTCTGAAGATACTGGATTGTGCCGAGATGGACAAAATGACATTTGAATTTAAAGAATTGATGGACTTGGATTTTTATGTAATATGTGAGAAATGGTATAATTGGTTCAAAAATAGAAAAAAAGGAAAATAATAGAATATAGATTTAGTAAAAATATATAGAGTATAGGTGAATACTGGTGTGATGATATGTAAATGGTCACAGTCATGCACAAGAGTTGAATAATGATTGTTTAATTGTAAAAATTCAATAAAACAAATTTAAAAAAAAGAAAGACTGGCTCCAAGTTGGCAAAGGAATTTAACTTTCCCCTTATTCATCCAACCTATATACAGTGGCACCTTTGTACTCAACTGCTTTGAAACTTATTGAATTTGGTACTCAACATATTTTGACGAAAAAATTTTGTCCTGATACTCATCGTTGTTGCGTACTCAATGCAAAAGTTGTCAGCGTCAGCTGCCTTATGACTCACTACATTATTCCTTATGGGAAAAATTTGTTTGGTACTCATCATTTTTGGTACTCATCGCACCTCCTGGAACCAATTAATGATGAGTACTGAGGTACCATTGTACTGAATATTTATTAAGGGGAGCTGGATTGGAAGATGAAGAAGAATGTAGTTTTAAAATTGACAAACTTTAATAACCTGTGCTATGTTGATTACTCAATCTTGATAGGCAAACATTCAAAAGATCTGTAAGCTCTAGCAATAAAAGTCAAGCACAATAAAATTATATGTAAAGGTAGAATTTTATATGACAACAGGTAGAACAACTAGTCTTAGAATTAAAATAAATTTATCAAAGTGACTGAACTATCAAATTATCCTACTTTGGACACATTATGTGAAAACCTAGCTTTTTGGAGAATGCTTCAAGCATTTGCTAATGCTTGAAAAGATGGGAAGAAAGAGAACTCTACCCTGTTTTCCCCAAAATAAGATATCCCCTGATAATAAGCCCAATTGGGCTTTTGAGTGCATGGCAATAAGGCCAAGCGCTTATTTCAGGGTTCAAAAAAATATAGGACAGGGTCTTATTTTCGGGGAAACATGATAGGAAGACTAGCAGCAAGCTTGATGGATTTTGCTACAGTGCTGTTGAATGCAATCTGAAAGATTACAGTTAGAGATAGACTATCATGGAGAAAATCTATTTATATGGTTTCTAGGAGTTGATAAAAATTTGTTAACAATCAATCATTATCTACATAAGCAAAATGATTCACAACTTGTCTTGTGTGCCTGACCCAATTTTTCAATAAAAGCTGATGATAAAAATACACAATTAACAAGAACTTTACAGAAATGTAAAAAAACTGTATTAGTTGCAAAACTAATATATAGTCACATCTGCTGCCTAACTGCCTAAGCAACTTTTGAATAATTTTTATAAAAGATTTTCACATAAATAAAAAATAAGCATGAAATTGTACAGAATGAAATTTAAAAATAAAAGAAATGGAAAAGAGTGCAGGCAGGCAGGCAGGGAAAGGAAAGGAAAGGAAGGAAAGGAAAGGAAAGGAAAGGAAGGGAAAGGAAAGGAAAGGAAAGGAAAGGAAGGAAAGGAGGGAAAGGAAGGGAAAGGAAGGGAAAGGAAAGGAAAGGAAAGGAAAAGGAAAGGAAAGGAAAGGAAAGGAAAGGAAAGGAAAGGAAAGGAAAGGACTTTACAGCAGTTACAAAACGATTAATTATCTTGAACTGCTTAAGCATCTGACGTTACCTTGTGCTGTTTTCCAACACAGCTCTGGTGAGAAAACTCATCCACCAACCATCTCTCTTGCCAATAAGCCACTCAAAGACTCCTGTAAAAGATTCAGAGCATTAATTCTATTCAATTACACCTCATCTTTTGCATCTTAACTTAATGCTATTTCTCTTCAATCCTGACATCAGACATAATTGATAATCTGAGGGATTTAGGATTCATCTTTTAATAAAATGACTCTCTCTTGATATTTTCTCTTTAGACAAGAACAGTTCATTAGGGATACTCACCAATGTAACCTCCATCAAGACTGAATCTCTCATTCATGGTTAATGTAAAAATCCCCTAAAACAGAAGCCAATGAATGCAACTGTTACTTGAATAAAAAGTATCATATCTAAAGTATCATATCTAATAAAGATTCTTCCATAAAGGAGTCCAATATGACTAGCAGACTTCCCGTTACAGAGCTTTGGGCTCTACTATTTACATACACTATGATTCCTTTAATAAATCACTTTAAATCAGGGGTGTCCAACCTCAGTAACTTTAAGACTTGAGGACTTAAACTCCCAGAATTCCCCAGCTTTAACTCCCAGAATTGGCAAGCGCCAATTCTGGGAGTTAAAGACCACAAATCTTAAAACTGCCAAGGTTGGGCACCCCTGCTTTAAATGATTGTGTGATCCTTTTATATGGCATAAAACGTTGAATCCATCCTTGTGACCATAAGCAATGAGTTCTGACTTGCAATGATGCACAAACCCAATGAATTATAAATTATGCAATAAGGCACAAGCAAACCACAGTTCACCATGCTTGTGTACATAGCTTTTCACACAATGGATTAAATCATACTGTAGATGCTTGTTTCTGACGCCAACCTCCATGAATTGTAAACCAGTTTGATTTATCAAGCTGAAGAACTCAGACAATGAGCGTTGCTTAAATAAGCAAATTATGCCTTAATATATTTATTATATGTTTGTGTGCAAGAGCGTCACTGGATTAACACGATTAACGTGTTAATCCAATCATGCCTTGTTTAATACTGGATCTGCACAAAACCCAAAGCCATTGTTTACAAGTTCACAGTTCAAAGAATGTGCCAATCCCAAACCATCAATAAACTTGAAGCAATAAACTGTGAACCCAGTTAGAAATTCTCACGACAGAGGACAGTCAGATGCTTGAGCCTCACAGTGCCTTCACAGGGGCTGCAAAATGATTGTGCCATTAACTGGAATAAGATGACTATGTATAAAAAAGAACACCGCTTAGGGAGGGCCGAAAGCCCTACTAAGCAGGTATATACAAAAGTATGAAGGCTATTGCTTAATGCATTGTAAGCTGCCCTGAGTCTCTGGAAAAGGGCAGCATATAAATCGAACCAATAAATAAATAAATAAATAAACTCACTGTCAACTATCCTGAGATTTGTTACACCAGTTAAACAAGACATGATTACCAGAGAAGAGAAAAGAGAGAAATTGAAAATTTCATGTTTCTGTTGTGACCCCGACTCCCGAGCCTGTCCTAACAGAGGAAGAGGACTCAGAAGGTGATTGGGAGGAACTGACAAGGCCTCCCTCTCCAGGACCCTCCTTTCTAGCAATGCCTCAGGTTCCATCTGAAGGCCAGGAGGAACAGCCTGGGATATGCCAGGAGGAAGGCATATCGGAGTACCAATTGATAGGAATTGAGGAGGATGAATCCTGGCTTGATCCCAGGCAGCATCGGAGGGAGAAGCATGCGCAGCAACGGAAGAGGCGTGGAAGGGCCAGAGATTGAGCTGAGTCACGGAGCCACGCCCCACCAGGAATAAAAGTGGGTGGGATTGCTCTTCAGGCTTTGTGACGGACAAAGTTAAACCCTGCAAGTCACATCGTGATCTCTGAAATTCGGTTTGGATATATTTTGGACTGAACATTGACTAAACTCTTGTCTTGTGGATAATTTGTTGCTCCTGGAACGGACTGAAGATAAGTCCTCTTCTACTTTATGAGAGTGGAAATGGTCTTGGCAGGCATTCAGCAGTTTGCTGCCAAAACTTTGGTCTGCCAAGAATTCTAATCTGTTTACCTAATAAAATATTGGCAGGCATGCTTGGTATTACGTTTGCCTGTGTGAGGAAGGGGGACAGAACAGTTTCTTTCAAAAATACTCATGTAAATAATCCTTCAGAACAGGGAAGGGGGTTTCTGATTCAATAAGAAAAATGAATTTGGAGGAAGCCTGACATTTAGAGGAATATTCAACAATTGAACCATTTTTCCATCTCACTGCCCAACTGTAGAACATCAAGCTGTAGCAAATATATTTGTAGAACATTTAAGTTAAGTGTGCCTATTTTGTTTTCTCCTCAGACCTGTGCATGAAGCACTTCCAGTGGCAGCCAGGATTGTAGAAACTTGGAGGATACAAATTTCATTTCCTAATCAATCTATCTGTCAAATAAATACACTTCATGAATGTAACAAAAAATGCAACCCAAGAAAGTTTTAGGCCAAAATTAATCTCTTCATCTCTCCAGTCATGTAATATTTGGTCTGATTTGCTCTGTTACATTTGCAGAACTCAAGCACGAAAGGTAAAATTATTGATTTTTATATATGTTGCAATAAATAAACAGGCAAAATAAGAGCAGATAGTAAAAGTTTGCACGCTTTATGCTTTGCAAGTTGTGGCAGGCTTTGGCTGTTAGTCACAAAAAAGAAAAACTGGACACCTGCCAATCCAAGTTTAAATATGTTCAGGTTGAGAGTAATAAATTATGATCTTTCTGTAGTATTAAGATCAGAATGCCATTTACAGTATATAGATCGATAGATCGATAAATGGACACTTACTTGTTTAACTCCAGATATCATTCCCACATAGCCAGCAAAATTTGCAGATTTAAATACTGTTTTATTGTTTTTCTGAAAATCCAATGATACCATTAATGGCTTCAGCTTCTGCGTTGTATACCAGGAACTATTTTGTACATCCCACCTACACGGGAGAAAGACAATTAAATATAAAAAATAAATATATATTCAAAACTAAATGGAGTCCTTTCTAGCAGCTTCACTGAACAGAAAAACCTAATTATTTAGTAATCTATGTGCTGCTCACTATATAACATCTGAGTTTCACCTTTTGGTGATAGCTATGAAAATTGGAGTTTTCCTCTTTCTGGTCAAGGGCTAAATCTCAAGATCTAGATCAGTCAATATTTTCTGGCTTCACTCTGTGTTTTTTTAGGAGAACCAGGGATATAGTATCAACTCTAGACAATCTTCACAATAGGCTAATCTATAAATCTTAATTTGGAAATATCACAGAATAATCTTTCTTCTAAAGTTCCTTGATTCATAAATAGTGCATTCAAAGTTACTGGTAAGGATCCAAGGTACAATTTTCTCCTAACCGAACTGGGAGATTGTGATTGGTCTACATAACCAATTATCTTCATGCCTGAATTAGGATTTGAACCTACATCTCCTTAGTCTTAGTATGTCACTTTAAGCATCATCTTTGAGCTAACCATCTAACCATCATATTTTGAATGGGTTTATATCAATATAATATATTCAACAACTTGTCCTGTTGGTCAAAAAATTACTATATAGCATGTGTGTCACTTTCTTTTCTCCACTAGTCAGGTGTAACATCTATCTTAATAGTTAATGGAAAGGTTTGCATACATTGTCAGCCTCCTCATCCCATTCAGTCTTGTTTTTCATTAACACCCACTGAATTTTACTCCAAGCACTAAATCTTAAAATTCTATGCTGTGAAGAACATAAAGCTTCAGCTAACTCTTTAAGATCAGGACTCCCTAGTACCTTGTCAATTATTAAGATCAAAACAAAACAGGATGACAATGCATTAAAAAAAACATACATATGCAAGCAGGATATACTGTAAAAACTATGGTGGCCTTCCAATTTTATACCCAGCATTAAGTAGATGTATAAATTGATTACCCTTGCTTTTAGCATCCTTGAAATTGCAAATACTTGCACTGATATTTTTGCTATTAGATATCAAATTCTAGGTACTATGTAGGGCCTAAAATATAAACTAACCCTCAATTTCAGTTCATATGTAAATGGAAAATTTAATATGCATTGTCAAGTAATTGCAATAAGATATGGCCTTAAAGAAAAATGGAAAACATCACTATGCTGAAGACACAAATAATACTAACATTCAGAAAGAAGTATAATAATCTTGCAGCTATTACATACCCAAGAAACAGTCCAAAATCAAGATTTCTAGCATGGTATAACTTTCCTGATTGAAAAGGAAAACAAAGCAAAACAAATTTGAAGAGAAAAGATGTTTAATCATTATTTATTTATTCAATTTTGATGGCCAACAATTTCAACAAATAATTCTGGGGGCAGCAAACAATATTATAAAGTAAGTTAAAAACAAATTCTCCTCATAAATACAAAAATTAAAATAAATAGCTGCTGAGGGAGATATCACTATTGATGGTTGTCAACACAACCAAGAGATGAGGCCCTTCACACCCTTTGGGCCTTAGGCCTAGGAACAGTACCAGGCCTTCTTGCCTTAGTACAGTAATTCTCAAATTACAACCATCCATTTAGTGAATGTTTGAAGTTACAATGGCACTGAAAAAAATATGGTGCCTTTTGCAAACGACTGGTTGTGATTTTGTCAATGCCGATAGTGTTTCAAGTGGTGCTCCACATGTTTTGGGATTGCATTCTCAAATGAATCACAATAGCTATGCATTGCCTACCTGTTTTGTCTTCAGCTATTATGGATGTGCACACCGTGAAGATCTCATAGAAGATGTTGAACAGAACAACATCACCTACATAATAGGAGAGCAGAAGCAGAGAATATTGAATTGTCAATAAAATATATAGACAATGTATACAAACCAAAGCAAGAAATATAATCTGGCAACACTAATGCCAGGTGACTCCAGATTACAGGTAGCAAAATAATAACAAAAAATAACTTATATACTATCAAAAATGTTGAAAAGGCATACGAGAAATCTATGTCACTCCTTTCTCTTATTTTGAGAATCATTAGACGCTACAAAAGATGCTATCTCACACGGTATTTAGCTGCTTATAAAAGAATTTATGAGCTTTCTTATCTTATGTTAAGTCTAATTTGCACTTGTTCATAAATTGTCTAGCATGCCTTTCTAGAGCTAGCATGCCTTTCTGAATTACAAAGTACCCCATTTTGCAATTTCTGAAAAACAAGGGAAAAGGTTATAGAATAAAGGAGATCAGATATACCAATACATGAAGTTAAATCTTGCTTTAAACATTATGCTTCTTGCATGAAAATTATAGAAAATATAATGCACACTTGAGATTCCACTCAGTGTTTGTTGACTGACATTTAATGGAAGTAATTAATGGATTTAGCATTTCTTCTGTTGAATTAATTATCTGGTTTTATGCCTATTTTCTATTTTCTAGTACATGCAGATTGTACACCTGGGCACTGAAGTTCCATGCCCTTACTGGAACCTCAGCACAGAACTTTAGCTAATGGAATAGCTAAAATGAGGCAACAAAGGAACCTATATACACTGCTCAAAAAAATAAAGGGAACACAAGCAGAAGACATCCTAGATCTGAATGAATGAAATAGCCTGATTAAATACTTTGTTCGTTACATATAGTAGTTTTGTGTTCCCTTTAGTTGTTTGAGCAGTGTATAAACTACTGTATGTAAAGAACAAAGTATTTAATAAGGCCATTTCATTCATTCAGATCTCGGATGTCTTCTGCTTGTGTTCCCTTTAGTTTTTTGAGCAGTATATTTGAGCAGAGGTCTTCAAACTTGGCAGCTTTAAGACTTGTGGACTTCAACTCCTAGAATTCTCCAGCCAGCTTTGCTATAGAAAGGCTGGAGAATTCTGGGAGTTGAAGTCCACAAGTCTTAAAGCTGCCAAGTTTGAAGACCTCTGTACTTGAAAGTCAAATATTACCGGAATATGGAAATTACCTAAAGGAGCATCAACAGCAGAAGCAATGCCTTTTATTTCTTCATTGAAAGGATAGGGAAGGGTAGAGCATAACCAACCCTAAAAGGAAACCATGAATTAGATTTGGCAAATTATAACGATGTATGCTAAAAAAAAAAAATCAACTTTCTTTTTTAAGCACTATTTATTTCATTCAGGGTAATATGCAGTAGACAACTTATGGCTCCTGAACATCTTTTTCTGCAGCTGCTATTCTACTGATAAGATTACACATGTCTTTTCTCACAGGTTCAGGGAAGAAATATAAACATTGTACTTTAAGCTAAAATACATTTAACACAAACCAATGATTCCCTTCTCAATCCACTCACCAAACATTGCAAAAAATACTATCCCTTGCCATATCTGTAACGTTCTTCCACTCTATTTCTGTTTGTCTACTGCAGCTCTTGGATCATTTTGAAAGTTAAGCACAGCTACCACTCATGGAAAGATAGCCTATTCCAGTATAATAAAATCTAAGGAACCATTCATATAATTTAATTTCATTCATTGGTAGAAGTACTGCAATTATTCTCTCTCCCTCTCTCTCGCTCTCTTTTGAAAGAAAAAGACTAACACTTTTTATTTCAGAATAGCTGAAATTGCTGAAAAATTATAAACTCCAATACAATCCTTCTTTTATTGTTATTTCATTGACTGCAATGTCTGAATCTCTGAAAAATGTTCACATAAGGATGATAAAGAACAGGAAAAATAAAACTCCTATTGAAGACAATGAAGACAGTCATTTGGCTATGGACTTTCAAGGACAAGTCAACCAAAGAAATATGAGAACACTTTATTTCTAAGGAAACAAAAACTGCTGAAAGTTCTACATTCTACATGGTTTTGTCTTTTTCTTTGAATCCAGCAAGTCAGTTGAAGACCATCTCAAACCAACAATAAAGTATTATTTTATAAAGTAACATATTGCACTGCTTTAGTAAGAGCCTTCACTTCTGTTTCAAGAGAAAATGCCACAGTAGGAAAATGGAAGAGAATGCAATATTGCAGGCTAACTCTGCTCACATTGCCAAGGGTTTGATTCCTTCAATCCTGATCGGTTCAAGGTTGACTCAGTCTTCCATCTTTCAAGATTGGTAAAATGAGGACCTGCATGGTTGGGGAGGGGTGGGGGATATGCTGATTTTCTGGAAACCACGTAAAGCACTGTGAAGCGGTATACAAGTCTAAGTGCTATTGCTTTTTTAATCACCCCCGTTATTATGTTAACTCCCATAACACTGCATATGCTGGGAGTACGGTAGTAATAATGATGAGATCATCAAATAATTAAATCTCATGTTTTAAAATGAAACAACTAGACAATTCCTTCTAATTGCTTAGTTTTTGTCTAATTGTCTAATTAATTGTCTTAACTGTAAGGGATGTGTTTAAGCGCACCAGCATGCCTACTGTCTCTGTCCTAATGTTTCCTTTTATTCATATCCATTTCATGTATTCATAATTATGTTTATACTTGCATCTGTTATCAAATACATGCTTGACGAAATAAATAAAATAAAAATAAATAAATAAATTCCAGAGTAAGTTGTACTGAAACCAATAGAAGCAGGAGAATCCAATAGGGGAACCCATATTAAAATATTGGAACACTGAATGACATTAAAATTTTCAGGTATATAAAGTTTATGGAATACGAAAAAATGTTTTCAGTTATTTTATTTTTTTCCACATTTTTTTTACATCTATCTTCCTGTTACCTCTACAAAAAACCCTCTTTTTGGAGTGCAACTGTGCATGTACAGTTCATCAATGGAATTGTCCATAAATAAGTTTCAGTTTTGTGTCTCAGTTAGAAAAAGATCCACTTTGTTGTATAGAACATGCCCAGACTACTCTGTTTGGCTACTCTAGGTTGGGCCAATGAAGAATGAAACCTGGTACCACTATTGTTAGTTGGTATAATGCGCCAATAGATATTCAGACTGGATTATTCTTTTATGTTCCAAGCAAGAATTAGCAAATTTGGGTTGCTAATGAGACTTGTACTCTGATGCAGTATGGAAAATTTACTGTGCCGATTAAAAATAATTAAGATTTCTTGGAAAAGTAGTCTTATTTTGGGAGGAAGAGACACTATACTTACTGGTTGAGATTATATTCTTAAACAGGTCACATATATAATTATTAATAAGTCTCCATCTACAGGCATGGTCTTTCATTCATAAGTACTAGCTAGAATGTTACACTTGGTTCAATTTCTTCCCCAAATGAAACATAGAAAATATACTCACTATTTTTGACTCCATAGATGCTACAAATTTCTCATTATGGATGAATGTCAATACAATATCTTTAATAGTCTTTATTACAAGCTTTAACTGTAAGAGTGTAAGAAAAGACAAGGGATTAACCTATGTTAGCAGAATGGAATGCAAGAGCCAATTAAATGGAAATATATCAAACGTTATAAATAAGTGCAATAAATAATGTACAATTTACAAAACTGCTGAGGCACTTTGAACCTTCACTTTGTGTAAGTAAAGAAGCTTTGAAGTGGGAATCTATTTACGCCTTCTCTGCCTCATTTCAACCTGGAAAGTGAGGGTGCGAGGGTTGATGTAGGAAGGCACCCATATTGCTCCTACCTGGTCATCCTTACTCATAATGCCTCTTTTGTCACATTGTGATGGGGTCAACTTTAGAAACTTCTTCCCACTTGCAGACTCTCATTCTGCAAAACCAACTACTCAGGAAATTCATTTGGATTCCAATTACATATGTTACAATGTTACTCTGGATAACTGAGGAAGACAAACTCCTTTATAATTGTTCCCACTGGATTACCTGCAGATATAGTGAATATCCAGTATCACTAGCTTACAGGCTCTTGACTGGACCAAAATGGAGGATATTGTAGATGACTGATCCTAATTGCCAATTTATCAAATGGTTTGACTTCAATGTGCAAAAACATTGCTTTTCTCCTAATTTTGGGGGTCATTTTTAATATTATGGATAAGTCATGGTAATTCAAATTAATTAAATCGTAACTCTCTCAGAGAAGACAAAGATACTTTATTCTTTCTGTGATATTCCTTACCTCATTTTTTTTGTCACGTACCACCTGGACCCATCTCTCACTTGGTGGTAGGTCAAGATTTATGACATATTCAGGAATTGTTCCTTTAAACCTGAAAAACAGTGAATTTCCATAAATTTCTGAATGAAACTGTAATATATAATTATTACTGCTAATTTCCAATCTATTATTTCTTACACTATTGTCCTAATTATTTTAGCTGTCCTGTTTTAATTCACCAATATTTAAGACAGGTGCATCTTATATGAAATTTGGAGTCATTTCCCTAATATTTATTGAAACAGGCAAATATTGTTTTCTGTCTTACTTGAGAAACTTTTTATTATTTCTAAAGAGAATTAACAAGAACTACTCTATAACCCCACCATCATGTTTTCCAGATATATAGAAGTACAGTTGTAAGTTGTGTTGTTATGTGGGTCACCATGTGATCATGTCCGATTTTTACCCTTTTTTAGAGTGTCTAAGTGAATCACCACAGTCATTAAGTGAATTCGTTGGACATTTTTTGCCAGAAACCGAAAAGAAACACCAGTTTCTGGCCAAAAACATTGTAAGGTGTGGACACATTACCACAGGACTCTGCAAACAGCCACGAACACATGCCGGTTCCCAAGAATCCAAAACATGACGACGTGATGGGGGGGGGGGGGGAGAGGAGGGGCTGTTGGAACATCAAACAATTGCTAAGCAACTGATCGTAAGTCAAGGACTACCTTTATCAGGTATGTTTATTATGCAATACAAGATGATCCTAATTTTCTTTGTAGTATAATTTGTAGTATATTTTTTTGTAGTATAATTTTGATACAGTACAAACAATTCAAAATTCCTATCTAATTAAACCAGATTCTCTTTGCATCTGCAAATATCAGAAGAGTTGTTAGTAAGTTACATACGTTGGTCCCTCTGGAGGATATTCATGTATTTTGCAATCTTCAGCAAACTGGAAATAAAATAAAAGCCTTTTTAAGAAGATGCTTTTTTTATATAAGTGAAATACAAAACATTTACAGAATCCTTGTACTTTCTCCTGTTGCAATAGGAAAAAAGGAAGTGAAGGTTCAATCCTACACACAGTGCAAGAATTAAGTCATGTAGCCATCAGCGTATTTTACTTTGTGTTGAAAAGCTGCCCCTGGTTGGTGCATAAGCCATTAAATACAGTAATGCATACTGTATTGGAAGTTATAAAGTTGGGAAGCTTTTTACTGTATGATATGGTGGACTAATTCAGACACGCCATTGAAACAACTACTAATGTAGACACTGGAGAATCTGAAGTTCTGAAAGTTTTCCTTTCTGACCTTTCGTAGTTGAAGAGAGGACTAGAAACAAACTATTTTGGTTATAAATTAGGGAGAGCTCTCAATTTATCTGGTTTGGAGACTAATAATTGGTTTAAACAATTATAGCTTCCCAAATATTATGCAATACAACTACCACAATCATTTGCTAACTAGTAAAATAAATGTAGAAGTACAAATCTTCTGAAGCCAGCAGTTTCTTCTTGTTTAAACAATAGGTTTTGGTATTCTTTTTTTTCTAAAACTAGAATCATTAACTTGTGCTAGAATTCTCTGAAAAATTAACTAGTGTTCCCTAACACTAGGCATAACTAAAGTTAATATAAATTACAAAATATAAAATCAAAAGATAATCTTTCTTTTTGGAATGTGTTAGAATTATTTTATGTCAACTTTATGGTTTGTTAGAATAATTATTGCAAGAGTGCTACTCACGTTAAAGATTATCCTAATAAATTAGTTTGTACCTACTAAATCAGTGTTTATGTTTTTGAATATTTGTGTTAAAAATATACATTCATGGGATTTTCAATAATGTGAAATCTGGAATCTCTATGACCCAACCTCAGTAAGAAGTGAGTGTATCAGTTTTGTCAGAGTAATTGCCAGAAGTCCCTCTCCAAGAAAGATGGGCAGTTAAAAAATATGAAGTATAAATAAAATATGCCTTTAATATTTCCATTTATTAAGAAGCAGACCTACCTAACAAGAGTTGACTTGATGAATTAGCTCCATACAGGTTTATATTAGTGTATACGTGAGAACACAAAGTTGCATTGATGAGAATACAAGTTCAGTTTATAGGTGAGAAAATGAGTTCACCTTAATATCATAGCAGATTGTAGTGAAGCTTTTTTTGAGTGGACTGCAGTTATTCAAAAAGATATTTAGATCTTGTAGTTATTTAGAAATTTCTATAAACATATCTAGTCTAGATATCTAGATTATCCAGTAATCTAGTCCTTTCCAGGCTTAAGGATCTTTCATTTCCATGATATAAAATCTCTAGCAATAGGGTATTTAAGGCATGATGTTAAGAGGATACTATGTTAAACAGAATAAGGCTAATTTATGCATCGTTTGGCAAGATATCTAAATTATTGCCAGTTAAACAGAAACAGGTTCTAATTTGAGGGCCTCCAACACAGCACAAAAGCTTGGAAGAATAAATCTTCGGTCCCCGTGACAGACTCAGATTGGATCCTGGGATGCATATATTTATCCTTTTATCCTGGGATTCTACTTTGTGTAATTTCTTTCCTACTAATAGCTCCCAGAATTTTTTCTTGGTTTGCCAAGTTTTAGTACAACCTGATGTCACATAGAGGGGGGCTGGCAGGACAAGATAATAACTTTCCATGAATGAAGCTAAGCAAAGACCCATATTAAATACATTCCTCTTTGACTGCATTTAGTCAGAATATTTGTCCTCCTCAAATGTACATTAAATTCATTCAATGTATTCATTAACTTCATTAACAAAAATATAGAAATGTGGCAGTGGAAATTAGAACGAACCAGTATAAGTTTTTTAAAAATGCAATATTATGTAGATCACATTCACAAAAATATTCTGTTGCTGATAACATGTGCATCTCTAAATGCATGGAGAAGCCAAAATCATAGGTCTTGAGAAGTATCACTCAACTAGATTATGCAGCTAAAATTGTTGACACAATGATGACAACAGTTCAGGCTTGGATTTTTTTTCAGGCAACCCAGTAAACATTTAAAAATAAAATCAAATACCCATGAAAGAATCTTGTTTTCCTTGGGAAAAGAAAACCAGCCCTGGGCATCTTGTCTCTGTAGGCTAAATAAACCTGAAAAGCAGTGACGTACAACTTTCTATGCAACTCACTGTTAAATAGTAGTGTAATAATCTTCCCATTCCATAACCCACTTCAATGATATTCATTAGCAGAAATGCAAAAATTTAGTTTCCGGTGCTGCACCCAAGAATATATTAGGATGGGAATTTTACAATGTTGAGAAACTCCGCGTGAACAGGGAATCTCATATGGCAAGGGTAACATACATGTTTATTAAAGAGAGTACAAAGCAGTTGTTGCTTCAAGATTGCAGGAGTAACAACATAAAAAGGGGGAAAAAAACAGAACTAGAGATAGTGGTACAGAACATTCTTCCTTAAAATGTTGTGCATCTGTAAAGTAGCATTTATTTTGTGTCAAGAAATGTCCCAGTTGTTTTCCTCCCCTCTCATTTCCAGCAGGTATGGTTTATAAGGGATCCAGTTAAAAAATTGGCATGCACAGTTCTTGTCATTTCTGGGGACCTTATGTTTTCCACCATCATGGAATGAGATGATGACCAAGACAGAGCTATGGAAGAAGTATTGAATACAAATTAATATATTAGTAGATTAATATGTATAAAAGTAGTTTATATAGGCATCTATTTTCTAAAAGACAAGCAATTTGTTGCATCTCTAATTGTATATCATTTTATATATGGCTCATGTATCTTTTATATGTCATTCCTTACAGGTAAGCAAAACTTTGTATTATATTTATTCAAAAAATTAAGTATTAATGAATATAAAACAGAAAGAAAGGCCAGGTAAGCAAACAATAGGCAGATAAAGTAATATTCTAAGTATGTTGGAAGGTATTTGTTGCCAAAGTAAAAGACAGGCATCTCAAATAAGAACATGGAAGGAAATGAATTATTAATTAAGGTAATTTCATATTTCTAAAATATACAGATAAATGCAGTAAGATCAAAGATGCATCCAGAAAAGTAAAAACTCATTAAATCTGAAGTAACTCAGATTCTTCCTGTTCCAAATTATATACTCTGGTTTTGTGAAATATTAAGGTGGCATATCTTTGGTATGTGTAGGGAAGACTTTATGTTTGCTTTCTGAACTGAGAAATGATTCTTTGTCCTCTGTTCTCACGTACAAGCAAACAAGCCACAAAACTCTTCATTAAACTATTCTTTATTAAAACTTCACTACACTACTGTCCCAATTCACCTGATCTGTGGATATACAACAGGAAAAAAAAATAAAAAAAATTGCGTATCCCTGAAAAAGGGCACATGGAGTGCCATCATATATCCCCACATGGACCATTGATATGTTGGTATTTCAAGCCAAAATGTTACTGCCAGAACCATTCTGATAATTTTAACAGAAAGATAAAAGAAACAGGAATTTTATGAATCATAAAACCACTGCAAGTTTAATTGTTGTTCTCTGAATATGTTAGAACTTTCACATAATTAGAAAAAAATTGTATGCATTGTAAAAAATAAAATAGAAGAAAAAATATTCAAATAATGAATATCTTTGTTCTTGTATGGGCTACAAGTAAAATAGCTCATGAAAACTTTAGAAACAAAATTAGGTTAAAAATAAATGCTTAAATGCAATTAGGAATCTGAACAAGCATTGGACATCTGAATAATTTAAGATGTGATAGCAAAGTCAGGGGAAAAAAGCTACAAAAAGCTAAAAGACGAAAATCCCAGCTGAATTTTGCCAGCATGGATTGGAAAAAGCCATAAACATTTTTAAAAGATATGAGAGCTAATCTGTTCCAACCTGGTTGATGGCATATAATCCCAGTAAATACTGTATTTATGAACAAGATACATGTAAAGGGAGTTTCTCTCTTGCAACCATGCAATGAAGCAGAGAAGTAATGTTTCAGTTTCTCTGCAGTACTGAGTAAAACAGGAAGTTTAAAGTGAAATCTATTGTTAGAATATGAGGATAGTTACTGAAGTAAATTGGCAAATTGTTCAGGTTGGTGAGTAGAACTTTACTACTAAATGCTGTTTAATTTGGTGTTTGAGAAGAGTGTCTTGCACTAGTGTTTTGCATTTATATACATTCAGACTTTAATATTTCTGAAGGCTGAGAAGCAACCTGCAAACTGTCTACCTAAGCTTGTGGTTACTATAAGCTTGTTTCTCCTTCAACCCAATCTTTTTTTGCCAGTCAACTGAAAATTAGGAAGGAGTCAATCTGACTAACAAGGTCCATCTTTTGAATAAAACTTTAAAGACTTCTTAGTACAGCCTTTCTCATCATCTCTGACATTCTTCAAATTTGTTTATCTACAACTCCTTCATCAGGAAAAACAAGAAATGGCCATATTCACTGGAAGCAAATGTTACCACACCCTATTTAAGGACCATCAAGCTGCTCTATTCTGTCTCTAATGTATGGAATAAGCTTGTTTTCTCCAACTCTCTTATAAAATGGGATCTCATTTTTTCACACGAACCCATTACTTGGTGAACTATTACCTACTTTCTTATCTAGAAAAAGCATCAGTTGAGCTTTCAGTTCCTCACAATTTATGACTAGGGCAGGTCAGTGTTATTTTCCTGGTCACAACATTGCAATAGTTTCCCCAGTGTCTTTTTCCAGAACTTCCCCCAACTTTTCAATCTAATCCAAAGCCTTGGGCTCTCCTGTTAATGTACTCACACTAAACTATATAACCTTATAAATTATAGTTATATAAACTAAATAACCTTGACTACCACTAAGTGTTGTATCTTTTTATTCTTGATGAATGTATTTTATTCTCCTTAGGTACACTGAAAGCACCTGCACCAAAGACAAATTCCTTGTGTGTCCAATCACACTTGGCCAATAAAGAATTTTATTCTATTCTAAATACTTTTTTTTTTTTACCAGGCCAAAGTTGGCTATATCAGAGCAGACCCCCTGAAAGTAATGACTGCAATCAACTGCATCTCCCCCATTTCACTGGGTCTTTCTTAAATTTGAGTAAATCTGGAACAAACCTAGCATCTCTGGCCTTTTTTTTTTTTTTTAATGTATTGGTGTTTTCCTTCTCAGAACAACTCTAGTTCTTCCAAGGTTTGCTTCAACTCCTAAAATGTCCTAATTTTTGATGCGCGATGCATAGCAACCAGCAACAACAGAAAAGCTCTTACAGCGCAGAAACTTTCGCCTACTTTCAACCCTGGAGCCGGACGGCCGAGCCGAGCCAATACAAGCCCTTTCCCCTTTTTTCTCTTGCCCCAATCGAATTCACGCGGCAACGCTTTCGAGACTTTCCCCTTCGCCCTCCGCTTCCCATTCCAGCACCGCCACAGACTAAGCTCCCTTCTCACTATTTAGGAAGGAAGAGCCGGTCCAGGGCTTAAGAAGCGGAGAGGGAAGAGGGGAGCTCTCCTCGGCACTCACCGGATCCCGGGCTCCCACGGCCAGCAAAGTCGCGGCCACCACCGCTACGAAGACCCAACCGCGCATCGTCCTTCCAGCTGACCAAACCCAATTGCTGCCGCCGCAGCTCAGGAGATTAAAAAAAGGCTGCTCCGACACGTGATTTCCACCCGGGGTAGCCGCTCCTTCATATGACTCGCTGCTCGGAATTTACCAAACAGTTTGGGAGGGAGGGAAGCGACTTTGATTCGGAACGTACCATTCAGCCGAGAAGTGGGGATGGAATTGCTTCCTTCTTCGTGCTAGGTGATTTAGTCGAAAGTGGTATTCATATGAGGATTCCCGGTTCTATTTTATGTATTTTAAAACCAGCGTTCCATCCAAACGGATCCATGAATAGTTTACAAGGATTATGGAAGACCATTTTTCCATTGCAAAAAAGGCTTAGATTTTCATTTTAAGCCACCCAAAGGATTCAAATATTCCAAATTCACAAAAGAACTAGGAAATACAAATTGCTTGAGGATGTGCTTTGAAGCAAGAGTCTTGCTTGGGGATGAACCCTGTAGAAATCAGACGGCTATATAAAATAATAAAAATTGTGATGCAAGCATAAAAGTGATAGTTGATTTGGGATGAGAAAAGAGGAGATGTTGGAAAGAGTATTTTAGAGAAGAGAGGAAGATCAAGAGTGATTGTCCAAGGGAGATTAGTTTGTTAAACAGAGTGGATGTATTGGGGTGGGGGTGGGTGGGAGGTGAGCACCCAAATTATTTTCAGCAAATGACAGACTGTATGATAGAACAAAGAGTATGAATTTCAAACTTAATGCTTTAAAAACCAAGGTAGTGTAGTGAATGATTGATTACATGCTATCAAATTGTTTTCAACTCCTAGCGACCATATATTTTATCAGTTAAATTAAGTAATAAAAATTAAGGCAAATAATTTATAAAAGTTAGGTGTTTAGAAAAGATGGAAAATGGATGGGTGGGCATCTTAATAGAAAAGTGGTAAGTAATATGTTGTATCTGTTGTAAGGAATAACAGTTTGCAAAATCGCTCTATAAGAGCATAGATCACTTTGTTTTAGCGAAGTGAGAGCTATGTCAGAAGCATCAAATTGAAAGTTATGCAAATGGAATACAGTAAAATGGAATACTCAGAAGCAAAAGTAGTAAACCAAGGAAAAAAATAGAATCAAGAATGAATGGGGATGAATTAATGTGGATTGAATACAAATGGAGCTATCATAGAAGTAAGTACAGTATGTTGAGATGGTTTGTTAACAGTAACAGAGTTGGAAGGGACCTTGGAGGTCATCTATCCCGTTTCTCCCAAAATAAGACATCCCCTGGTAATAAGCCCAATTGGGCTTTTGAACGCATGGCAATAAGGCCAAGCGCTTATTTTAGGGTTCAAAAAGTATAAGACAGGGTCTTATTTTCGGGGAAACACAGTAGTCCAAGCCCCTGCTCACGCAGGAGACCTGTACTAGGGATTCGAACCAGCGACCTTTCTGATTGACAAGCTCAGTGTCTTAGCCACTGAGCCACCTAGTCAGGTTTGTTATAGAGAGAATCTAAGGCAAATAAAATACAAAAGCAGAGTGAATCGGTACAGAGGAAGGGGAAGAAGACTAAGGAAGTCATAGCTATATTGATTTATTGAGATCTTAAAAAAAGACAAGTTTAAAAATAAAAGAGCAACGTATGAATCAGTGTGTGCGTATGTGTACTATAATTCAAAGTATGTTCTCTAACAAAATGTCTCCAGCATTGTTGTGACCTGCCAGTGGCCTGCGCGGATTGTGGCTGATCCCAATGACGAGGCTGGTGTGTTGCGCCAGCAGCCTGCGCAGCCAGCGCTCGCGTCGGACAGTGAGGAGGCTGAAGAGGATGTGGTGCCAGAGGCAGAGACTCAGCCAGGGCCTTCAGAATCTCCAGAGGCTCCTTCAAGTGGAGATAGTGAAGTGGAGGAGCCTCTCCTCAATGCTTGAGCACGCAGGGCTGCCAAAAGGCAGGAGTGGCTACTCAGGAGGAGGAGGTCTCCTCGAGAGTAAGGTTTGAGGATAATTGGCCACTCCCTTAGCCTATTTAAGTCACATGCCTTTAGTAAGTTTCTTGCAGGAAACAACTTGTAATTATCATCAGAGCATTTTTCGAAAAGTCTTATCATATCTTGTTTTCTGGGCTGGTTGCCAACCTTTGCCGGACTTTGGTTTATTCTTGCTACTTAATAAATTTGATAAGGACCGTTGGTGTGTGTCAATATCCTTGGGAATCTGGAGCTGGGGCAGAACAATCAGTGTATGCGTATGTGTACTATAATTCAAAGTGTGTTCTCTAACAAAATGTCTCCAGCACCCATCTAGTTCAGTAGAACCTACTACTCTGGAATTAAAAGGCACTGAATTTGCTTTATTTTAAAACATGAGATTTATTTTCCTAATTTACCCAGAATCTATCTAGTATTCGTCCCTTATTTCTAACCTCTGAAATCTTATGAGAGAAACTGAAAGATGCAGGGCAGTGGAAGTGGAATGGAAAAAGAAACAGAAATCTAGGCCAGTTGACCTGTAAACTGCATAGCTGAAGAGCAGATCATTTGATTCTAGGTGACCCCCACCTATTTAGCAGTCCAAAAGCATTGTGTCCCATTTACCTGTTGTAGCACTTTTAAAAATAATGAGTAATGGCTCATTTAATGCACTAGGGAAATGTACCATATTTTTCGGAGTATAAAATGCTCTGGAGTATAAGATGCACATTAGTTTTGGGGGACGAAAACAAGAAAAAAAAATCTGCCTCTGCCTACCAGCATCCATCGGTATTCATCTGGCTAGCGTCCTTGCAGCAAATAGCAAACAGCCTGGTCAGCTTCAGCAAGTTATCGCAGCCTGATTTAGCATGAGCAGCTGATTGGCGGGTGGCTCTGGCTCCCGGAATAGCATTTTTGGCCTTTGTGCCTCATGTTTTTGGCCTCCAAATGCTCCGTTTTAGACCCATTCCAGGCTGCAGGATCACCACAGCACATCACCACAGATCGCTCTCTGCATGTCGTGTTTTCGACCTCCATGTGTCGCGTTTTCAGCCTCCACATGCCCTGTTTTTGGCCTCTGTGCATTGTGTTTTCGGGTGGTTCCAGAAGGCAGGGATTGCTGCTGCCACCGCCGCCAATCCCCACTGTCTGGAACCACCCAAAAATGAGATGTGCAGAGGCCAAAAACGGGGCGTGCGGAGGCTGAAAATCTGAGGCACGGAGGTGGTGATGTGCTGTGGCGATCCCCACAGCCTGGGACAGGTCTAAAACAGCATGCGATACACAGAGGCCGAAAATGGCCGAAGGGTGGGGGCTGGTGGTTGGGAGGGGCTACATTCTATGTATAAAATGTACTCAAATTTTCACCCTCTTTTAGGGGTGGAAAAGTGTGTCTTATACTCCAAATCGTATGGTAATTAAATTTGGAAATTTGTTCACAGGCTATTAATTTGGAGTGGTCTTTAGTTGACCTATGGGCTTTATAGAAGAGGACAAATTTCCACTGAACTAGGAATATACTTTTTTTAAAATTGGTGGATAGCCAAGTTTGTGTTGTTATGTGATCCCATGAAAGTGTTGCCATTTTTAAATTTTGCCTACCTTGTGTGAAAGCTCACAATAATGCCCAATCACCAAGTGACACTACAAAACTAAGTTTTTTTATGGAAGCAAGGAGAAATATAAAAATAAGCTAGCATATATATAGTACTTAAGAATTGTGAGCTAAAACAAGAAAAAATAGAGTCAAGAAAAATGACGATGAATTGTCAGAAGCAAATGTAAAAAGAAGTGGTTTGGCCATAAAGATATCCAGACTCAGAACCATATAAATCTTTATAGGAATGACCAGCACATTGAATAAACCAACTAGGATATTCAGCTTGCACAGTAAAATGGCAATTCTATGGGTAACTACTGTAGGAAGAATTGGCTTGAGTCCCTATCTGGGAGAAACGATGCTGCTGCTGAATGAAGAGAGAAGCCAGCTGAAAAGAAGGTTCTTTTTATTGGTGATCAGAAGCGACTTCAGTGATCGGTTCTGGGACATCTGAGAAAACTGGTGAGTGGATGGGTTTTTATGTAGTTCTAGGGCTTTGTGATTTATATGCCCAGTTTCGTTGTGAAATGTACTTTAATCTGTACTTGATGGTGCCCTTTTAGCATTCTAATTATTGTTGCCTAACTCCCATTGTGGCTGACAGGTCTTGCCTTGAGATTGGGTGTAAACTTAAGTGTCATTGTTTTTGTTTCCTTAACCTGCTCAGTTTTGGCCCCATATGAAAGTTGCAGCCAGTAGCACTTTGCTTATGAATGGAGTTGCCTGGATACTGAATATCCATTCACAAAGAGCCTTTGTGAATGGATACCAAAGTATCTCATTCACAGACACTTGGCTTGTTGCAAAAAGCTTCTTTGGGCGATTTCCCTGTTTGCGAGAGAATGCGAGTTGGCTTTTATTTCAGGGGAGCCTTCTTCCTATTGTGGGGAGACCGCTCACTAGCTGATTTTCCTTTTGGGAAGTGGGTGGACTCCCTACACCACTAAGCATGCATGTCACTGTATTCTCAACCAGCTAAAGATTCCAGATGATCTTCAAGGGCAGCTGCATATAGAACAAATTGCAGTAATTTAATCAAAAGATGACAAATGCATGAGGGATCAACTTCAGTGCAATTGTTTCCAGGGAGCACAATCTCATCAAGAATCATAAATAGTACAGTTTTGAAATCAGCGAACCTCTGAATCTAGTTACTCCATCTTATCTGATTGAGCCTATTTTTCCCCATGCATCCCCTGATAGCTTCCGACACCAGTTATGATTTCCAGCATGTCTCCCAAGGAGCCAAGTGGAGATGTATCACTGAGTAGCACCAGCATATTGATGATCCTTCATCCTCTACTAGCAGATGATCTCCTGCAGAAGATGCAGGTAGATGTAGAACAGGAAAGGACAGGCTGACTCCTGGAGCAACCTGAAGTGTCTGTGATACGACCTCTGTTCCCCTAATCAAACAAACACACTTTAGTAATGATATTAGAGTGGGAGGACAAAGAAAACAGGAAAATCCACTGATCACTGCCCTGAAACTGCCCCACATAAATCTATAAAGATAGCACTAATAGTCCA